TGCAGGAGGTTTCTTTGACACTTTATTTTCTTCTGTAGGTAAAAAAGTATTAGAAACTGTAGGTAAAACTGCTATTGAAAGTGGCGCCAAAAAGGTGGGAACTGAAGTCGGAAATTTAGCTGCTGATAAAATAACAGGTGTATTTAAAAAGAAGAAACAACCTCCGCCAGTTGGCGATAAAATTGTAAAAGAATTAAGAAAGAAGGATACTGAGGACATAAATTTACAAATAAATGAATTGTTATCTGGATCAGGAAGACGAGATATAAATTTACAAATAAATGAATTGTTATCCGGAAGGCGATTATTTAAACAAGAGGGCCATGATGGCCCTAGATCGCTCACCTGAATTATCAAACTCATCCAAACAATTACCTAGACAAGCATTCTGACCAAGTCTCATGACAGGTGAGTCAAAAATGTGACCACTACAGTGTTAACAAGGATTATCCATATTTGAGCAGTGCGACCTAGTTTTTTACCCAGGTGACACATATTCAAACTTGACCTAGAAATCATCAAAACAAACTTTCAGACCAATTTCCAGGATACTTGGATCAAAACAGTAGCAACTAGAGTGTTAACAAGATTTTTCTATTTTTAGCTCCGGTGACCTAGTTTCACATGCGATTTCGAACTAATCCAAGCAATTACCTAGACAAGCATCCTGACCAAGTTTGATGATAATCGAGTCGAAAATGTGACCACTAGAATGTTAACAAGGTTTTTCCATATTTGGGCGGTGTGACCTAGTTTTTCATCCAAGATGACCCATGTTTGATCTTGACTTAGAAATCATCAAAAAAAAACTTTCAGACCAATTAACAGAATATTTGGATCACAACAGTAGCCACTAGAGTGTTAACAAGATTTTTCTATTTTTAGCTCATGTGACCTAGTTTTTCATCCGAGATGTCCCATGTTCGATTTATTCCAAGCAATGACCTATTCAAGTTTCCTGACCAAGTTTGATGACAATTGAGTCAAAATTGTGACCACTAGAGTGTTAACAAGGTTTTTCTATTTTTTAGCTCCTGTGACCTAGTTTTTCATCCGAGATGACCCATGTTCGAACTCATCCGAGCTATCACCTAGACAAGCATCTTGATCAAGTTTGATGATGATTGATGCAAAAATGTGACCGCTAAAGTGTTAACAAGGTTTTTCTATTTATAGCTCCGGTGACCTAGTTTTTCATCCGAGATGACCCATATTCGAACTCATCTGAGCTATTATCTAAACAAGCATCCTGACAAAGTTTGATGATGATTGGGTCAAAAATGTGACCACTAGAGTGTTCACAAGGTTTTTCTATTTTTAGCTCCTGTGACCTAGTTTTTCATCAGAGATGACCCATGTTCGAACTCATCCAAGCAATTGACTAGACAAGCATTCTGACCAAGTTTGATGATGATTGGTTCAAAAATGTGACCACTAGAGTGTTCACAAGGTTTTTCTATTTATAGCTCCTGTGACCTACTTTTTCATCCGAGATGACCCATGTTCGAACTCATCCGAGCTATCACCTAGACAAACATCCTGACCAAGTTTGATGATGATTGGGTCAAAAATGTGACCTCTAGAGTGTTCACAAGGTTTTTCTATTTTTAGCTCTTGTGACCTAGTTTTTCATCCGAGATGACCCATGTTCGAACTCATCCGAGCTTTCAACTAGATAAGCATCCTGACCAAGTTTGATGATGATTGAGGCAAAAATGCGACCGCTAGAGTGTTCACAAGAAATTGTGGACGGCCGGACGGACGACGGACGACGGACGACGGACGACGGACATTCACCGATCCTAAAAGCTCACCCTGAGCAAGCTCAGGTGAGCTAAAAAGATATATAATATATATGTTTCGATCAAAACAATACTGTGAGAGATATGAAAAAACACCTATTCGATTAGATACACCTTTAATAACAATCCTGGACAATAACGTCACCCAGCAGAAAAATGGATATAGTTTTACTATAGATGATAGATCTTCATATTATGATTGGTTCAATGGGTATTTTGAGGTAAATTTTAAAATAAATAAACTGGCAAACGGAGCTAATTATGATAATGCTGATCAAATTGCTGTAATAAACAATGCGGCTTCATTAATTGATCAATTAGTTATAAAACAAAATGGAAAGAATGTATATGATTGTTATAACTTATATAGGGTTGTGAATGTAAGAAATTTAGTTGAATTAACAAAAGATTATGCAGAAACAACTGGGACAAATGAATTAATTGCTTTGGATTATACAAATGTAGCTGAATCTAGAGCTAATCAGGCTGGATTTAATAAAGGTTTTGCTGCAAGAAAATTATTAGCTCAAGGAGGTAAGGAAATTAAATGTAAAATCCCTTTAAACAATTATTCATTTTTTCGGAGTTTAGAGACAAATATGTTGCCCCCTAGCCAAATTCAAATTACATTACAATTAACAAACGACAATGAATTAATCCATAGGGCAGCTGGAGTTGATAATGGAAGAGTTATAGTTACTAAACTTATCTTATGGGTTCCTCGGTTAATCTTTAACGCTGAAGGATATAGTTTGATTTCTGAACATTATTTGAAAGCAAAAAAGTGGAACTATCTTCGAGAAATGGTCACACAATCATCTAATATAGAACAAAGCAATATTATTTTTAGAATAACAGCTGGTGTAATGAATCCTAAACATGTGTTTGTTTATTTACAAAGAGCTAATAAAAGTAATTCACAAGAACAAAACCCTCATTTATTAGATACTTTTAAATTAAATGCTAATAATAGAAATTGTACTTTGCAATCTTGTCGTCTTGAAGTTGGAAATGGTGTTTTTTTACCCCGAAACAGAATATTCTAGTATAACGAGAATATATGACGATGTAATAGATTATTTTCACAAACAAAATGATAAAAATACTGGGTCCCTTTTAAATATATCAAACTTTGAGGGTTTGTTCGGATTCATTCATTTTAACTTGGAATTTAAAAAAGAAGAAATTGCATCTGATCCCAAGCATCTTACATTAGATGCAAAATTAAATGTACCGCCAGCTGCAGCTATTTGTGTCTATGCCATTGTAATGTATGAAGAAACAGTTCAATTAAATACTATTGGAAATGAAATTGTTATTGTTTAAGACAGACGTCTTTGGTGAAAAAAAATAATTATATAAATTATATAAATGTCTTACGTTGAATATAAAATAAATTTATCAGAAGGACAAAAGCACAAACTTGCGAAATCATATAGAGATAAATGCCCGTATACTTTAAGATTGAAGTATGAAGATTTAAATGGTACTTTCCCAATACTTTTAACACAGACACAAATAAATAAAATTGATAGGGCTAAACAGAATAAATCTGGCTTAGAAATTAAGATATCGCGGGAACAAATGCGCAGTCAAGGCGGTTTTCTTAACACTTTAATTCCGTTTATTACAAAATTAGCTCCAAAAATATTAGCCCCTTTAGGTGTTGGAGCATTAAGTGGTTTGGCTAGCACTGGTGTAAGTAAAATACTTGGAAACGGTATGGTATCTGTAGCAAGAAATAAAAGAAATAAAATATTACCATTTATTACACCACAGCAAAGAAAACAATTAATGAATGACGGGGTAATTAAGTTAAATAACAAGCAACGGCAAGATGGTGGTTTCCTTGGTATGTTAGCAGCATCTCTAGGAATACCTTTAATTACATCATTATTAAGTGGCAAGGGTTTACAGGTTGATGCACAACGAGTTCCATATAGACGAATTCCCAGGGTAAAAAAAAAATAAAATTCCTGAACAAACCATTATCTAACTTTGAAATAGAACAATGGGTAAAACAACTTGGTATTCAAAACTTTCAAGGCGTCTTCAGTAGAAATAATTTACCTTCTAATAGTAAAGAATGCGGGATAATAAATTTAGATGACTTTATTGGACCGGGTACACATTGGGTGTGTTATTACAGAAATAATTACTTCGACCCTTTCGGACTTCCTCCGCCAAAAGAGGTAATCAGTTACATTCCAGGTTTGAATTATAACAATATACAGTATCAAGATAAAACAAGTGTGTTGTGTGGTTATTATTGTTTATATTTCATACATTTATTACAACAAAAAGTGTCTTTATATGATATATTATACAAACATTTAAACATCAATAATCAAAAAGAAAATGAACAAACAATAATAAACTATTTCACTAATGTTTAAAAATAGTCTGCCGGCACCCGTCGGTTTGCGAATCTACAAAAGTTTTCCAATATCCAACACAGCGAATGGTAAAATCAGCCTGCCGACACTCGTCGTTTTGAGCCTCTACAAAAGTTTTCCAATATTCAACACAGCGAATGGAAAAATCAATCTGCCGACACTCGTCGTTTTGCGACTCTTATTCCACGGATATTCAATATTAATTTATTACCATTTCAATTCATCAAATATCCGTGGAATAACACTCCAATGCTTTTGTAGAAAATGCAATGACAATGAACAATGAATTATATTAGAATGATTGAGTGAAAACTTGTACAATTTAATCAAAAAGTTACAGTGTGAAATTTTGTATGGCATGCCATTTTCTATTATTTTGTTTAAAAAACCTCCTTTTTCAAAATCCTTGATTTTTTTTAAAACCTCTCCTTTTTGAATATTATAAAACAACTTTGTTCTTCCAGCACTCTGCGTATGTCTGTCTAGTGTTTTTAAAGTTTTAAAACAGCTGTCGGTGTTTTCAAGCTCCAACGTAACCTCTCCAGCCAAGTTCCGATCTTTTGAATATGATTTTTGTACCTCATTTTTCACTTGATTGTATGTTTTTTTTGCTTTTGTTTTATTACTTTGTTGACGTAGGTTTTGTTGCACATCTGGAACCTGCTGCAACGATTTCAATCCCAAATCGTTAATTTTTTCTAACTCATCTGTTCTTATTAAGTCTTTTTGTTTATTATTCAACGAAGCCATTTGATCTTCTGTAACTTGTTGTTGAGCATGATCTTTCATAAAATTATGAATGTTAGAAATGTACTCAATTGTGTTTTTATAAGTACACATTTTACTGCATTCATCGTGCGTAATTACTTCTCCGTTCTCCGTTTTACGAGAAAGAAAATCTTCCAGGGATTTTATATATTTAAACATCTCTATCGCAAATTGTTCAGCCCTAAAATAAAAACAAAAATTTAATGATTAACGAAAGAACTTCTTAGATAAAAGAATAAATAATTCATTTACTATATTTGTTAAAGAAAAATGGTAAAACAACTTACATTCTGTCTAACCACTCTGTATTCCTGGCTGATGAAATAATAACAACGCATTTAACATCTATTGAGCTGCACACTAGGCGAATGTTCTGGATGACGTTTCACTATTGATCTTTAGCGGAAAACTGTACACGTGATACGGAACGACATATTGATTTATAGGCTGCAACTATTTAAAAGTTGGTTCCGGACAAACATTTTTTTTACTCATGATTAACCGCCTTGTTTTACAAACTTAGATTTCAATTTACCGCATGAAGCACACGCGGCTTTTATCATTAATCTTCCGTTTTTTGTTGTAACATATTGAGGATTTACATTATCGGTGTATGTTCGTTCTTTTAAACAATATATTTGTTTTTGTAAACTCATTTATATATATTTTTAATTATAAAAAAGGACTCGTCGGTTCCCGCCTGCCTTATAGTATTCTATTTATGAAGTAGTATAGAGTATGATGGTTCCGGGGGATTTTGGCCTGAGGGTGTTCTTAAATCAATAAAAATGGGGTTTTATGTCGAGCTGTCTTACTTTTTGGGTTGATAGGTAAGCTATGTCGAGCTGTCTTACCCTTTGGTTTGATAGATAAACACTTTTTTAGGCTTCAAAGTGTCCCGGAACCATCATACTCTATACTACTCATTTAAAACAAATAATCCCAATATACTCTATGTCACGTTATCGAGGTCAATGACAAAATTGGACACCGCTAACGTGTTTCCGTGCAAATGTGGCAAACTTCTACCGCGGACACATGCTTTCAGGTAGGTTAGTGTCAAATTACATTTGGAGACCCCCATTTATTGTCAATTCGAAATGAGTAACACTATTTGGAGTACTGTATATGTGAAGATGCTCGAAAAATTGTTGACTGCTCCAACGGAATAGTCTCCTTGTTTAGGCTTCATTTTATTTTCAAGCAAAAGATAAATGTGACTTTCAAAAGTGTACTGTTTTGCGTGCAAATCTATCAGTTAAGCAATTTAAGATATCTAAGATTACATATATGTATTTATTTTCATAACAATATTTACACAATTTGCGTTTCTTGTAATCATAGTCAAAGAAGGAAAGATTATTGAATATATTTTCCAGACTAAAACAATTATTTCAACATCACCCATACTTTTAAATATTATTCTGAACGAGAAACTTTGGATTATTATCACCTAACATCTGATCAGTTTTGTTGTCTTTGTAAATAAATATTATCTAACTATAGTATAAATACATGTCAAAGACTTTTAAATAAAAAAGTACAAGGAACAGAAAAACCATTAGGTAGTCAATATTCCTGTATTTACACTTTGTTGACGAAGAGCACATTTGATAAGCAAAAGATAAATTAGATCAACACGCGAAAAAAAAAACACAGAAAAAACAAAAAAATTTCAAACTATTTTAACACAATAGTAAATTCAATGTCGTCAAATAAACCTATGCTTTTCTTTTACCAACAGCCACTTGTATAACAAGTTCTATTACAAAAAATGTATCATTTATCGTAGTGATATCAATACCCATTTTATTTACGAAATGAAGCACTTTCAGTTTTTTATGACATTTTATAAGATACAGCTTTAAGGAACAAAAGAAAAAATCCCAAGTCTATTTTTAACTTTTATCTGAAATATATTTTCTAAATAAGTGCAAAAAAGCTCTGTTAGTATTTCAATTTCATATAAATATGCCTAATGTCTTAATCTATTCCTTTGATTGAACCAAGAATCTGCTGGAACTGTCGCCACAAGATATAAACTCTTATCCTCTATATTATTTGCTTGATTGCTTCTCCGTTACTTCGATCATGATGAAAATTGCGTGGTATTTCAATCAGACATGATTTTTCAGTGTTTTATATACAAGATATAAACTGTTATCCTCTACATTATTTGCTTAATTGCTTCTCCGTTACTTCGATCGTAATGGAATTGCTTGGTATTTCAATCAAACATGATTTTTCAGTGTTTTATATACAAATACAGCTACAGTTAATAATGCAGCTCATTCAGGAAAACATATTTATCTCATTCAATACTAATAGAAAAAAACTATGTACTTGAACCGAATTTTAATTTTCAATTTATAACATCTCGTTTCCTAGTGTTTCAATTACTGTAATTATTCCTGAATATCAATTTTGTCGAGAATTGTATTGATTTGCTTGCTTTGATCTACTAAGATAGTGATTAATCACAGCAGCTTTTAGTGTGTCGTGTAAAATCGGTTTGCTTGTTATCAAAATGTACTTGGGACTTATTGGCAGCAATACTTTCCGTCTTTTCCGGACTAGTTCTAAAATTAATTTGGTTTTGTAACAGATATACGTCCAAGGATGTTAAATATTTATATGTTTTAATGATTTGATATAATTTACTTTAAATCTTATTTTCGAAACTGTTGATTGACATTTCAAAGCTGTTTTCCATATCAAACATTAGGTTTTGAAATGTTTATCATAATGTGAAATGGTTTTCATATTGAACTAATTGTTTACAACCTATTTATTACCTACTCCAATATGAATATTAAATTATAACATAACGAGTATAATAACTTTTCTTATTTATAATATATCACACTTTTTTGTTTCACACGTGAAGATAAATATCTTCATTTGCAACCAAAATCTGCCAAAATGTCATCAGGAGCAGTGTATTTTTCAGACTGTAAAAATGAAACAAAAAATCAGAGATGATATTTGGTGACTGGTAATTTGAATGAATTTGAAATAAGTTTTTTTTTATCACTTTTGAAATTTAAGTTATTGATCATCTTCTTTGCTGTTCTCTAAACAGCCCTGACAATGTTAGAAATTGACGTACGACATGGGGACAATCTTTAAAAAAGTAGCCTGTCATTGAAAAGTGTGAAATTATATTTTGAATATTTTTTAACTGTGAAATTATCAAATATTATTTTCACGCATAAATCAATAATCCACTGAAAAGCATAACATAAAAACTTGTTAATATGTTTAAAAAGAAAACAAACCATATTTAAACATTTTTCGTTAAACGCTTTTCTTGTCATTACTTTTAGTCAAAAATGTAAAACATAAATGTTGAAAAAAGCAAAATGCAGTCTCTGAAGCGCATTGAAAAAGTTCTTTCCGAATAAAAATTATTAAAAAAAAGTATTTAAATAAAGAAAACCAAGGTAATAATAAGTTCAAAGACGTAGTCCAGAATCAGATGACAAACTAGACCAATTATCTCTTAACTTTAAATTATAATGCGTGAAATGCATAACATGTATATGTTATTTTAAATATCACCATTTGCAATAGATATGTTTTATAAACGAAAAAGTAATATTAAATGTACAGATCAAAGACGTTTTTTTTTATATTCATGTTCTTTAATGAAGCTTGCTTTAACCACTGCAATATAAGGACAGACTCAATCAAACCGGGCTTGCAACATTTTCATTTTTCCGTGTTGGACGATCTTTAATGTTTCTATATTTTACTATTTTCTGCTATGACTAGCAAAAACCATTTGGTTCGCATCATCTTTCTTAAGTTCTCAAAATTTTACAATCTTACATACATATCTAGGGACATCCGTGGCCAAGCGGTTAAGGTCGTTTACTTTAAACCACTTGGCTCACATTCATGCGAGGCAACGTCGTTGGTTTACTCGGGCGTCCGTTCGTGCCTGAAATAAGAGAGGGAATTCCCCCACTATTAAAACTTGAAAGTCACCATATGACTAAACTTTGTTGGTGCGACGTAAAACTCAAATAAAACAAAACAACAAAACACATACATATCTATAAGTAGGCTTTAATTCCGCATTGCACAATTCACTTAAATCACGTGTTATTTTTAAATTAATCATTCTTAAATATATCTGACAAGCAGACGATAAACAGACAATGAAGGTTTTCTCCTTTTATCTTCTATCGTGCTTAATAATTTTGAAGATTTTTGTCAAACGTAACAAATTAAAGGCCTCAACAGACGGTAGGATTTTGAAGTACAACTCCAATTAAAACTAAGATGTACAGACAAATCTTAATGTGTGAAGGCTACTATTTCTTGATTTCGGAAACCTTAAGGCTAGATGTAAGGTATAGGACATGTTCTATTTTGAAAATCTTGTCGTACAGATTTTTACAGACCTCCCACAATGACAAGCAACAGATAACCAAATTATCTCCTGATAATGGGTGTAATGAATGAAATTCCAGAACAATTAGGGCTAAAAGGTAAACATAGTAGTAAGATGGGGTAAAAATGATGTTGAAAAGCTCTTCAGGAGACCCAAAGTTGTGTTATGTTCGAATCCTAAATTATTCTGAAAATGATTATGTCACGGTATTGAACTGTTCTCTAATTAGGGGAGGGGAAGTAGTTTGTAGGCGGCCGGATAGCTTAGTCAGTAGAGCCGCAGTACGGTATTCCGAGGGTTCAAGATTTGAGTCTCGGTCAGGCTTCACATTAAAAATTTTTTTTTTTTAAATGGAGGTGTTTCAATCATTACTCATGGCGAAACAAAGTATTTAGTGAGTAAAGTATGTAAAGGATCAATGTAAAGGGATCCTTTTAAGGAAAACCTCAGATGATTCCTACAGTGTAGAATTACCGTCTGAATGCAAGTGTTGTATTGCTTTGAAAATTGTACATCTTATCTCTAAATAGTGCTGTACAAATAAATCCTACCGTCTGTTGAGCCTTAACGTGCTTGATAATTTTGAAGATTTTTGTCAAAAGTAACAAGTTAAGGTCTCACCCCGGTACGGAATTAGACCCAGCCCATTGTAGGCTAGAAAATAGTTCTTTGAAATTTTGAAGTGCCCTATTTCAAGTCATTTTTGATGTGACTGGTTACATTTTAAGTGTATTTACTGTAACAGTGTACATTTAGTGTCATTTCTGATGACTTTAAAAGTTGTTTTTTGTGTATTCTGCAGGATCTCATTTCTTGGTGGAAGGATTCGAGAAGTACTACATGCCAGCATACATGACATTTGAAACTTTGATAATTTGACAGTGACTTAACAAATTAAGAAATATTGTGAAATCTAGATGGCTAACATAGGACATTTCGGGCTTCGACTAACTTGTCTAGTGTTGATGTTTAAAGTTATGAAATACAGAATTCTGCTGAGTTTAATAGAAGTCCAGAATGAAGCTTTAAATGTGACAGATTTACTATAGAATAAAGAAGGACGAAAATGGACAAGTCCGTGTCCTTAAGATAGAGCACAAAACGTCGTCTGCTTGCACAGTGTACGCTTTTATTCAGTTTTAATATGAACATTAAGGAAAATTCATGATATCAGTTATCATGATGAAAGAATGCTGTTATCATTTTAATCTTGATTTTCTGCTTTTAACAATATCAGTCACAAGTATAACATATTCCATGTGTA